ATTAATTTGTGACCTTACAAAATATTTAGTAGCCATTCCAATATATTCGAAAACTTCATACTCAATTTTGGTCCAATGAAGACGTTCATCTCGGACATGGGAACAGAGTATAAAAACCAGATTTTATCTGATTTATGCAAGTATATGAAGATCGAGAATCTCACCTCTACTGCATATCATAACCAAACATTAGGGACAATAGAACGAAGTCATCGAACGTTTTATGAATACTTTCGTTCATACATCTCTGCAGACAAAACTGATTGGGATATCTGGATTCACTTATTTCACTTATTGTTTCAACACGACACCATCAGCAACGCATGAGTATTGTCCATACGAACTAGTATTTGGCAGACTACCAAAACAGTTCATAGATTTAAATAGAACTTATTACATAGATCCTATTTACAATTTAGATGACTACTCTAAGGAAATAAAGTTTAGATTAGAAATAGCATACAAAAGAGGTAGAATTATGTTAGAAAAAGCCAAGGCTTATAGGAAATTAGCATACGATGAAAAAACAAGAAATTTTGAATTAAAAGTAGGAGATAAGGTACTTATAAGAAATGAAGCAGGCCACAAATTAGACCCAGTATATTTAGGACCATATATAGTAGAAACGAGGGGAACATTGTGAGTTGCTGCGGAGACCGCAACTCTACATTTATACACGATACTTAGTCAGTATAGCTCTCCTCCGACAGACGCCGCTAATATTAAACGACACGTCAAAGAGTGCGTGCGAGAGAGACAGAAAATCAGTCTGAGCGTGACGTCGTACGAGATACGAGAAAACTATAAACGCAGAATCATAGAGAATAAACATATATATCCGGTTGCGGAATCTGAATCAGATCGGATAATTTATATAGCCAAAAGGAACAAATCAATTTGCAAGATACTCAAAATGAGTATTGGGGTATATTAGATTTGTGGTAAAAGTGGATGTGTGTAACGTCCAGAAGGATTCGTTTCCGACCCCATAGAGTATATATATTCTTGATCAGCATCAATAGCCGAGTCGATTGAGCCCCGTCTGTCTGTCCGTCCCCTTCAGCGCCTAGTGCTCAAAGACTATAAGAGCTAGAGCAACGATGTTTTGGATCTAGACTTCTGTGATATGTCACTGCTACAAAAATATTTCAAAACTTCGCCCCGCCCACTTCCGCCCCCACAAAGGGCGAAAATCTGTGGCATCCACGATTTCAGAGATACGAGAAAACTAAAAACGCAGAATCGTAGAAGATGACTATATCTTCTAGAGTGCAAAATCTGAACCAGATCGTATAATTATTACAGCCAGAATCACGAAAACAATTTCACTCTTTCTCGCTCTGTCTCTCTCTCTAACACACAGGTTTCATGGTCGGTTTTGCCAATTGCCAAATATGAGTTCAAGGATCTCAGAACCCATAAGAGCTAGAGCAACCAAATTTGGTATCCACACTCCTGTGATATCGGACCTTGACCGTTTAGTGTCAAAATTTCGCCACACCCCCTTCCGCCCCCGCAAAGGACGAAAATCTCGGGCATCCACAAATCTCAGAGACTATTAAGGCTAGAGTAACCAAATTTGGTATCCACACTCCTCTTAGATGTCACTATAAAACGTATATTTAATTCTTTCGCCCCACCCCCTTCCGCCCCCACAAAGGACGAAAATCTGTTGCATCTACAATATTGAGGTGTGATGATCCTATTTCAGGCTGAGGTAAGCTCAGCCACGTCCAGGGGTCTGTTCACAAGAAATTTGTAGAAATCTGTTGGAACCTTGAGGGCGGCGTCGGAGGGCGGCCTGTCGTAGAGAGGTGGATCGGGGGCTCGGGTGGGCGTTGTTACCGTCGTGTATATGGAACGACTGTGTGGACTCGGGGTGGGGGGACGTCGGTGTGACCTGTGTTGGGTCAGCGTTACGAAGACGGCGCCAGTCAATCGGTGGCTATGTGAGGAGGGGGGGTGTTCGCGTAGCGAATCACTTTGGGCGAGGTGTTGTAATTTAGTAGCCGGAACTTTATTGGGTGTTGGGAGAGGCGTTGTAGCGAGTTCGTTACACCCTCCCCTTTCTTCCCCGACGAGAGTCACGAAGACCCGTGCGTGGTGCGCGCGGCGGTGTGTCCGATACCGTTGCTCGAACCACCAGCTGTCGAACAGGGTTCGACCTTGCGGCTCCATGTCCTAGATAGCGGTATAGCTGCCCGTTTTCGTGCGTGTAGTCCGGGTATTTCTGGGGTTCGTTTTGGACTTGCTGGATCCTTTGTTTAAGCCAGGTGCATGCTGTGTTGTCCTGGGGGGTGCTTGCGCGACGTTGCACTCAGCGTGATGTACGAACGTGCGGGTCACGATTGCGGTCGTAGCGTTTGACCGACGGCTAGTTTGGGCGGTGAGGTTCACCGACATGGCTCCAGGCGTGGTGCTGGGCCGCATGCCGGCGCCGTACGAGGTGTTGCCCGGAAGGCGTTCCGTGATGTCGGTGACGACCGATGGTGTGTCGGCTCCAGGTGCGGCGGGGTTCCGATTGATGCCTCGTGCGGCAGTGATCGCCTCTCCCGGTTCCTGCCTGAGAGGACGCGGGAGTAGCGGGTCGGTCGGCGTCGTGGGGGTCGTTTTCGCGTCGAGGGCGGTGTCGACACGTTCGTGGGCCAGGGTGGCGGTCGGAGGTGGTACCTCGAGCGCCTGGCTGCTGCGTGGCGGCTGTCGTTGCTGGGGCCGGGTTGTCTTCTGGAGGGGCGTCCTGGGTTCCTTTCCCATTGTTGGTGGAACCGCGTCGGTGCCCTCGGGAGACCGGCTCGCTTTCTTCGTTGCTTTGCTTAGTTTTGAGTTTCTCGGGGTGAGCCTGGGGCTGGTGCGCCTCGTTGTGGCCATGGATTCTGTGTTCCTTGTTCCTTGTGCTCGTGTCTTGTGTCGTGGCGGAGGGTTCGTTGGCGGCGGGGGTCTCAAGTTCTGGGGTCCGTGGGTGTGTACTTGGCTGGCGGTGATCATCGGCGTGTTTGGGAGGGGGCGTTGGGAGCCCTGGAGATGGAGGCGTGTGGCGCCACATTTAATTGTGGTTTCGATGGCGCACAGGAAATCCATCCCTATGATGGCTTGCTCTAACATGTTGGGTAGTACCAAGAGCGGCATCTGTACCTCTTGTTCGTCTAGTTTGACGCGCGCTAGCAAGATCTCAGTTATCTCGCGTGCTGAGCCGTCGGCTAGGCGTATCGGGATGCAAGCGTCGCGCAGGTCGTTGTCGTGGCCGAGTTGGCGGGCGAGGTCGGCGTTGATGAAACTTCGGGACGCCCCGGTGTCGACCGTGGCTTCCGTGCGCCGTCCTCCGATGGTCACTCTCGCCACTATCCGGCCGTCGTGTACTTGTAGCGGGTTTCTTAGTTGGTTTTCTGAGGAAGCGTCGTGCCCGGCTGTTCCCGTGTCAGCTGGGGACGCGAGTCGTTTCCCGACGGGTCCTGGCGGCAGCAGCCCACGGTGCGTGTTCCGCGCTTGCCGCATTCCCAACAGAAGAGGGCAGGGCAGCTCAGAGTATGGCCATTCATCGACTATGTCATCGGCGGTAGTGACGCGGTCATCGACGTGTCAGCAGCTGAGTCATCGATGACCCGTACTGCAGGGTTTTAACGGGTGTATACGTGTGTATGCATGTGTAGCGTTCCGGGCTCTGACGGGGTGCATGAGACCATAAGGTGCTGCAACGAACACGCGATAGGGCAAGAATCGCCCTGGCACCTGCGCCGTCCTCTTGCCCATCGTTTCACGTCCCGACCTTTTTGGCTCACACCCACGCAATTGGAACGAACTCACTCGGAGAGGTTCACGTTGGACAGTCTTCAATGTAGTCGACACTCTCACGAACTTCAGTGTTCCTCGCCAGGAAACCTTCTGGCCAGAATCTGTGGGCTGTATTGCGGGCCGGCTATGAGCAAAATTTACTGCATTAAATCCTATTTGGGAGACCCGCCTTGCTTTTTATACAGGATACTCAAAATGAGTATTGGGGTATATTAGATTTGTGGTGAAAATGGATGTGTGTAACGTCCAGAAGGAATCGTTTCCGACCCCATAAAGTATATATATTCTTGATCAGCATCAACAGCCGAGTCGATTGAGCCCTGTCTGTCTGTCCGTCCGTCCGTCTGTCCGTCCCTATCAGCGCCTAGTGCTCAAAGACATGCTCAAAGATATGTCACTGCTAAAAGTATATTTCAAAACTTTTCCCCGCCCACTTCCGCCCCCACAAAAGGCGAAAATCTGTGGCATCCACAATTTCGACGATACGAGAAAACTAAAAACGCAGAATCGTAGAAGATGACTATATCTTACAGAGTGCAAAATCTGAACCAGATCGTAAAATTATTACAGCCAGAATCACGAAAACAATTTCACTCTTTCTCGCTCTGTCTCACTCTAAAACAGAGGTTTCATAGTCGGTTTTGCCAATTGCAAAATATGAGTTCAAGGATCTCAGAACCCATAAGAGCTAGAGCAACCAAATTTGGTATCCACACTCCTGTGATATCGGACCTTGACCGTTTTTTGTCAAAATATCGACACACCCTCTTCCGCCCTCGCAAAGGACGAAAATCGGGGGCATCCACAAATCTCAGAGACTATTAAGGCTAGAGTAACCAAATTTGGTATCCACACTCCTGTTAGATCTCACTATAAAACGTATATCTCGAAATTTCGCCCCACCCCCTTCCGCCCCCACAAAGGACGAAAATCTGTTGCATCCACAATATTGCAGATTCGAGAAAACTAAAAATGCAGAATCATAGATAAGGACCTGAATTGCTGAATCTGGATCAGATCGGATAATTTGTATAGCCAAAAGCAAGAGATCAATTTGCAGTGGCTACGCAGCGCCCGACGTCACGCTCAGACTGATTTTCTGTCTCTCTCGAACGCACTCTTTGTCGTGTCGTTTAATATTAGCGGCGTCTGCCGGAGGAGAGCCATACTGACTTAGTATCGGATATAACTGTAGAGTTGCGGTGTCCGCAGCAACTCACAACGCTCCCCCTCGTTTTTTTTTTTGTTTTCAACAAACAGGGGAGAAACTAAAATGAAACTACAGCTCGCGAAGCGCATTTTAGCTTTCCCGGCATAAGTCGCTTCTGCAGGCTTAAGGGGAGCGTAAAGCTGATCCTTAATGGCGCATGGTGATCGTTGCTAGGTAAAGATAGACGGAGGCAGTTAACGTAAATATGAAATATTTGATAGGGACTTACGGATTGCAGTTGAGCATTTTGTCAGTGTTCGATGTCGCAAGTGAACGTAAGTCACTGCCGTTCAAAAAAAATGAACAGGAAGTTTGCGACGGACACATTGCCTGGTGAGCTGTGATGTGAATCTGATATTGGAATAAGCTAGAGTAAGTCAGGTAGGTAAATGTTCATTGGAGTTTCTCACCTGTTTGCTAAAAAAAAAAAGGCCGCTTTCGTGCTTTGAACCTGTGGTCTGTCTGCCGAGATGTGGTGAGGAATAGGTGGCCCGGGAGTCGTAAAGACAGCCCGCGATGCATCGGTTGTCATGGCAGATCGGTATGATGGATGACAGGAATAAATCACAAGCAAAGTGGGCTCGTGCACCGTGAGGCTTCTCGCTTATCGGTGTACGTAATTGTAGATATCCGTAGGGCGACTGTCAAGTGGAGCGCAGAAACTGGAGCGGTTGCTGGTCCCGACTAGTCACGTGTCCTTAGGTCCTTGTTCTTAGGTTTTGTGTTGTGTTGAATGTATTTGAAGTTTAAGCGTCTTAGGTGTCGACCGAATATACATATATGTTATTATTTATTCAAATATTTAATTGTATATATCTCGCTAACGGAGCTAGTTGGCGCAATATTTATATCGGTATTTAAGTATCTATTTATCTGAGTACTTATTGGTCCAAAGCGTAGTGCTATTTATTTATTGCTAGATATTTATTTTGGTATTTATTTATTTATATATATATTTATCGTAGTTGAGGAGCGATTTTTAGGAGTTAATTTTTGTTGTAGTATTGGTGTTGCTCAGTGCAGATGCCCCAAGAAGGGGGTAGTCGACCGTATCATACGCGATCACGCGTAAACGAAACAGTGGACCCGATAGGAGAAGCGTCCGGGGCGATATTCGATCAAGATCGGGAGGAACTTGGAGCTGTCCAGGCCAGGAAGATGGGCCATTTTTGGCTCGCTTGGGGTGAGGTGGTATTGGTCCGGAACCGTCATCAGGAGTAGGGGCGACCGCATCCAGTGAGCAGCATAAACGGGCTGAGAATCAAGCGCGAGATTGGCGAAACCCGATAGCACGTAGACACTCAGGTCAGGGTCGTGGCGAGAGAAGGAGAGCTGGTGAAATTCCTCGAGAAGATCCGCATTCAAAACCGCCGGGTTATAGACCTTGGCCACGGTGGGGCCGAGACGAAAAATGGGATGTGACGTTCGACGGGGAAAGCAACAAAATGGCGGTCGAGGATTTTTTGTTCCGAATTGAATTCCTACAATCCCAATGTCGCTGCCCGTGGGATGAGGTTCTCAAGGGATTCTATCACCTGGTTACAGGAAACGCGCGGGAATGGTACTGGCAGTACATTCGCGATCATGGCGGTGGTGTTTGGCATCTCTATAATGGGAGAGTCCATGAGAAGCCTTTTGGATTCAGGCTCTACACACAGCATGCTAGGGCGAAATGGTCAGGAATTCCTGGAGAAGCTTGGCGTAGAGGGAGAGGTAAAAAGATTAACGTTTTTGTTATGCCCTTTCTTGAACAGGAAACTTCCTTGGGGGTAGATTTTTGGCGGGTATTCTCATTGGCTCCTGAGGTGATGGGAGAAGGTCTAGTAGGGGCATCTCACAGATTAGTGGAAGAAGTGCTGGCTGATCAAGTCGCTCACTATGTGGAAGGCCCAGAGAAGGAGATAGTGCAGAAAGAATTGGAGTTGTCGGAAGAGCAGAAGGCAGCCTTGGATCACGTGAAGGCAGAGTTTCTGACTTTCAAAGCTGTAGGCCTGGAGAGGACGTCGAGAGAGAGACTCATAAAATTCAGTTAGTGGAGAAGGCTGAACCTGTAAAGGATCGACATTACCCGCTGTCAACAGCGATGCAAGAAGTGGTGTGTGGGGAGGTGTAAAAAATGTTGGTCATCAACAAGTCATCAAGTACAGTGGTGCGAAGGCCGGGCAAAAATCTTTTTTGTCTCGATGCCCGAAAGCTCAACAAAGTAACCATCAAGGACGCATCAAGGCAGTGGGTGCCTAGAATCGAGGGGATTTTGTCTCGATCAGACGATATACATCTCCAGCGTCGATTTAAAATTCGCTTTTTGGCAAATCGAGCTAGACGAGCAGAGTCGAGCATATACGGCATTCATGGTGCCGGGACGGCCTTTTTACCAGTTTCGTATGATGCCCTTTGGCCTCTGCAACGCTGCACAACGCCTATGTGGACTGGTCGACAAGGTCATTCCGGTAGAGATGCGTTCAAACGTCTATGCGTATCTAGACGACTTGTTGATTATAGACGAGGACTTCGAAACGCACGTGAAGATTCTGCGACAGGTTGCCGAGCGCCTACGAGAAGCGAACCTAACGATAGGGCTGAGTAAATCTCACTTTTGTTAATCTCCTGTGAAGATGGATCCTGATCGCATTCCCGAGCCGCGATCTGTCCGAGAATTGCATAACTTCCTGGGAACTGCGGGCTGGTATCGGCGCTTTATGAAGAACTATGCTGAGATAGCCGTTCCGCCAAGCTAAATTGTCGCCAGAAGAACTACTCGGTGACAGAGAAGGAGTGTCTGGCAGCTTTTATGGCGATCCTAAAGTTCCGTCCGTACGTAGAGCTTCTGCCATTTACAGTCATTACTGACCACGCCAGTCTCAAATGGCTCATGACCCCTGAAAAACCTGGATGGTCGCTTGGCTCGGTGGTCCCTCCAACTACAAGCCATCGATTTCGCCATAGAACACCGGAAAGGAATAGACAATGAAGTGGCAGATACATTGTCGCGCAGTATTGAAGAGGTCGAAGTGGATCCGAGTGGTATCCTGGGTTTCGAAACGGTGGAGTTTGAATCTGAGGAATATCAGGAGTTACAAAATACAATCACAGAGAACCAAGAACGCTTACCCGACCTCCATATTGTTGATGGCATGATATTTAAGCGCATACGGTTTCAACGATTTGACGATCAACTGGAGGGATCCGTCTGGAAATTGTGGGTTCCGAGCACGCTGATGGCCGCACTGATAGACAAAGCACACTTACACATAGAAGACAGTGCACGGTGGAATCGCGAAACCCTTGCATTTATTGCGTCGGCAGTTTTACTGGCCGAACATGGTATTAGAGGTGCGGGATTATATCCGACGGTGTACCGTGTGCAAGGAGTCGAAAGCACAGAATAATCGGATGCAGGTCGGGATGGGGCAAGAGGTGGTCACCGAGCGCCCGTTCCAAAAACTGTACATTGATTTCTTGGGCAAATATCCGAGATCAAAAAACGAAGGTTCCGAAGTTCGCATTCTTGAAGACCATGAACAAGGCCACAGCAAAGGAAGTTGTGAGGTTCTTCGTCCACGAGGTATTTTCCAAGTTTGGAGACGGACAATGGGGGTCACCCATATGAGGACGCCGGTTTATTCTCCGCAGAGTAACGTAGCCGAACGCGTGAATCGCACAGTTCTCAACGCGAGTCGGGCGTATCTGGAAGACGACCACCGGGACTGGGATGCGCATCTGCCGGAGATAGAACTGGCCATTAGGAACTCGGTTCACGAGGCGACGGGCGTAACGCCATTCTTCGCAGTCTTCGGGCAGCAAATGTACTTACATGGGTCATGCTACAAGCTGGCAAAACGACTGCGGTCACTCGGCGAGCAGGACATATCGCTGCTGGAGAGTCAGGACAAGCGACAAATCATCCAAGAGAGGATTCGCGCTAGTCTTCATCAGGCATACGAGCGTAGTGGGGTACGGTATAAGCAGCGAGCTCGGGTGTTCTACGCGCGGCAGAAAAATGTAAGGCACGCCGGCATGTGCTCTAGAGTGTTCCTGAATCCGGTGGTCATGCCCACGCGTATTTTGTCCCTCCAATGACTGACGACATACTCGTGGTGGTGTTCCAGCCCCACCTGAACGATATAGTTTTAAAAGATGGTTTAAGTAATGGCTTAAAATCAATTTACAAAAGGAGTTCGGTCTCGGACGGAGATTTCTTTTCCGCGTTATAAATTTCCGCAATATTCCGAATCAGTTTTTTTCGCCACCCAAGTTAGGGATAGGGATGACAGAAGCAACGATACTTAATCTCGGTATATCGACCAAGGGGTTCTGTGTCCCTTTAACGATAGTTTTGGCTCATCAGAGCCATCACTAAGTATAGCCGTTTCTCCGAAGTACTAAAAGAGTGTGACCACAAAACATCAGATACTCTATTCTGTTCGGATCAGTATGGCCGTTCACAGTAATTTTTGGTATATTTTGAAGTCGATAGTTAGATTTATGATATATTGGTATATTCCATCCATTTTATGGTATATATTAGTATATTTGATCGATTTTTTTTGCAATAATTCCAGTCAGGGTGACCGTTTACGGTATTTTTTAGGTCTAAATTGAACCGACGGTATATTTACGGTATATCGGTATATAATGGAATATTTAGTTAATTTCATCAATCTATTAGATTTAATTTTTAAAGGTATATAGAAATACAATAAAAGCAACTTTTAAGAATAAGCCAGTCAAGTATACAATTGATTCCCTGATCGGATACAATTATGTGGGCATGGCTAAATGTTCTATATAGCTAGTAATATTCCACGGAATATTAAAAACGACGAACATGTAAAACTGAACTTGAATTTGTCTATAAATTTACAGTATATTGTTTAAATGAGACGGTATATTTTGGTATATTTAACGATAAATCCGCGGTAACACTGATTCCAGTCATTTATCTGCGACGCTTCTAAAAACTGAACATTTTGCCTGCAAAAATTCTTTAACACCTTCTCTTGCAGCATTTAACTAAAGAAAATACGTAAAGGTGAGCTTTCAACCAATAAAAAGGATAAAAAACCGAAACATCAGCACTTTTAAACGCTTGTGTAGAGCGAAAAAATATGCACACATAGGAGCACTCGTAAATGTACATATGTATATGCGTGTGCGTGTTTTTCTAGAAAATGTGTTTTGTTTTTTCTATATGCATATATTTCCCACGTTTTTTCCTATTTCTAGGGAGAAAATATCCAAAATGCCCAATATTAAACTGCAGTCCTCGGACGAGGAAATCTTCGATACCGACATCCAGATCGCGAAGTGCTCTGGAACTATCAAGACAATGCTTGAGGATTGTGGAATGGAGGATGATGAGAATGCTATTGTCCCTCTGCCGAATGTGAATTCTACCATTTTGCGTAAAGTTCTGACCTGGGCCCACTACCATAAGGATGATCCTCAGCCCACTGAAGATGACGAGTGCAAGGAAAAGCGCACCGACGACATCATCTCGTGGGACGCCGATTTCCTCAAAGTAGACCAGGGCACACTCTTCGAGCTAATCCTGGCCGCCAATTACCTAGATATCAAGGGTTTGCTCGAGCTGACTTGCAGGACCGTGGCAAACATGATTAAGGGAAAGACTCCAGAGGAGATACGTAAGACTTTTAACATTAAGAAGGACTTCACTCCCGCCGAAGAGGAGCAGGTGCGCAAGGAGAATGAGTGGTGCGAGGAGAAGTGAGAAGGCGTAAAAGGGAAGCGGTTGACCATCAAGCCGCCTTCAGCTGCTGGCTGATTACACAATAATTTAATAATTTTCATTTATTTGATTTATTAACCCTATTCTGCGGTTACTTTGTCATACACTAATTAAAATATGCGAAATTATGTACCCTATGCGTAAGAAAAATAGCTTCACATGAATAAATTTAACCAATCTAAAAAAATTTGTGTTTTATCGTAGTCCAGTGATAGTGTCCCTCGAAAACTTAGTGCGTCGTGGGCACTGCCATCGCAGTATGGGACTTGGCTGCACTTGTCTTACCAGAAGACCTGATGAATGTCGTTTGCAGACACTATGTGTAACACCCAAAAGGGAGCGTTTCCGACCGCATAAAGTATATATATTTTGTATCAGCATCAATATCAATATAACTATATCTGGTCATGTCCTAATCCATGGCTTATGCCACGCGCCCTTCCTCTATTTAAATTTACTGCATCATGTTTCGATATATCCAAGCTTTAATATCTAATAATCAACAATCTCATCTTTCGCTTAAACTAGACTTTAACTTTACTGCGTGTAGATAAATACATATGTAGTAAATACAAGAAAAATTACCACTAACCAAAAACACCAAAACGTTTTGCAAAATCTAGATAAATCAATAAATTATAACTCTTCGTGTAAATATGTATATGATTGTGTTGAGACGGGATACTCTTACTCATGCGGGAATGATGTTATATGCATGTGTGGAGGTAAATATATATATGTATATATATGAACAAGGCTTTAAGTTAACTACCGAGACAAACCTATCAAGGGCTAGACTGTTCAATATTAAATGAGGCATGCTCCAAAAACAGGTAAGTTTACATTTCCACAAATACACCATACAACTCGAAGAGCTCGTGTGCTCCCCGTGTCACCCCCTAAGGGTTAAGCCTATGCGACCGATCAGCTGTTGGCAGTTAGTTCTGTAGGGAAATCACCAACATTTAAGTTACTTAAATCACTAATGAATGCAACAAAACAATAAAGGACGACACGAGAAACAACATAACATTAAATGTGGAAGGTGATTTGCAAGTAAATTGTTTTTTTTGTATGTTTAAATTTACGCGACGCGGGCGGATCGCTGGCCGTGGCTGGTCAGCCCTAAATCTATACACATATATATGTACATATGTATGTATGTTGGTGCGTGTCGGTTTTAACCGGGTGTATACGTGTGTATGCATGTGTAGCGTTCCGGGCTCTGACGGGGTTCATGAGACCATAAGGTGCTGCAACGACAACGCGATCCGGCAAGAATCGCCCTGGCACCAGCGCCGTCCTCTTGCCCATCGTTTCACGTCCCGACCTTTTTGGCTCACACCCACGCAATTGGAACGAACTCACTCGGAGAGGTTAACGTTGGACAGTCTTCAATGTAGTCGACACTCTCACGAACTTCACTGTTCCTCGCCAGGAAACCTTCTGTCCAGAATCTGTGGGCTGTATTGCGGGCCGGCTATGAGCAAAATTTACTTCATTAAATCCTATTTGGCTGGTCAGCCTTCCTTTTTCTTTCTTGTACTCACTTCCAAATTTCGGCTTTAACTATCAAAATCCACGTGGACTCAGCGATGTTACCCTTACGTCCACGCTCTACGATTTCTATAATTCACTCTACGTTTTCTAATAATTTTCACGTCTATTTATCCCTTTTCACCCTTACTAATACATATCTAATAGCTAATCTTATCCTATTCCTTATATCCCCAGTAACGGATCCCAGCTCCCCCCGATATCACCATACACCATCAAGCCCCCCTGGAATTCCGATAGATGGCGCGTCGCTCTCAGACGTGGGCCAACTATCGCTGAGGTGGGACTGGAACACCACCACGAGTATGTCGTCAGTCCTAGGAGGGACAACATACGCGTGGGCATGACCACCGTGTTAAGGACAGGATTAAGGCCCTACATTCTTCTGCCGCGCCCAACGTAGGCCACACCCACACCTCACTACAGTCTCCGGTCTTTGGCGTGGTACACTCCTATGGGACGGCCGTTAAGGACCTCCAAAGCATACGCGTTCTCTTCTACTGGCTTCACTACCCGGCATCGGATGAACTTTGCATTAAAGCACTTGCCAAAGTCACTAAGGACGAAATTTTTGCGGAATACCTCTTGTCCCGGCGTCGCGTAGAACACCCGAGCTCGCTTGTCAAGACTTACCCTTCTACGTCCCTGATGTAGACTCGCGCGAATCCTCTCCTGGATGAGTGGTCGCTTGTCCTCTCTCGCCAGCAGCGATATGTCATGCTCGCCGATTGAACGCAGTCGCTTCGCCAGCTTGTAGCATGACCTATGTTACGCCCGTCGCCTCGTGAACCGAGTTCCTAATGGGCAGTTCTATCTCCGGCATATGCGCATCCAGTCACGGTGGTCGCCTTCCAGATACGCCCGAATCGCGTTCTTTGATCTCGGATATTTGCACAAAAAATCAATATACAGTTTTTGGAACGGGCGCTCGGTGACCACCTCTTGCCCCATCCCGACCTGCATCCGATTATTCTGTGCTTTCGACTCCTTGCACACGGTACACCGTCGGATGTAATCCCGCTTTGTCTATCAACTCGGAACCCACAGTTTCCAGACGGATCCTCCCAGTTGATCGTCGAATCGCTCAAAGCGTATGCGCTTGAATATCATGCCATCAACAATCTGCAGGTCTGGTGGCAATTTAGTTTGGCAGAGAAAAATGCGATAGGCCTCTCGCTCTGCTTGTCATCCCGTTGAAAGAGTACGGCTACCCCATAATGTGAGGCGTCACACTGTGAGTTGAGTGGCTCGTTTTGACTCTTCCGTCAATCTAAATTTCCCTTTTCCCGACTTTTTCAGGGCGTCTGTAAGCGGAAGGGCTATCTCAGCATAGTTCTTCATAAAGCGCCGATACCAGCCCGCAGTTCCCAGGAAGTTATGCAATTCTCGGACAGATCGCGGCTCGGGAATGCGATCAGGATCCATCTTCACAGGAGATTAACAAAAGTGAGATTTACTCAGCCCTATCGTTAGGTTCGCTTCTCGTAGGCGCTCGGCAACCTGTCGCAGAATCTTCACGTGCGTTTCGAAGTCCTCGTCTATAATCAACAAGTCGTCTAGATACGCATAGACGTTTGAACGCATCTCTACCGGAATGACCTTGTCGACCAGTCCACATAGGCGTTGTGCAGCGTTGCAGAGGCCAAAGGGCATCATACGAAACTGGTAAAAAGGCCGTCCCGGCACCATGAATGCCGTATATGCTCGACTCTGCTCGTCTAGCTCGATTTGCCAAAAAGCGAATTTTAAATCGACGCTGGAGATGTATATCGTCTGATCGAGACAAAATCCCCTCGATTCTAGGCACCCACTGCCTTGATGCGTCCTTGATGGTTACTTTGTTGAGCTTTCGGGCATCGAGACAAAAAAGATTTTTGCCCGGCCTTCGCACCACTGTACTTGATGACTTGTTGATGACCAACATTTTTTACACCTCCCCACA